AAGAAAGAAAGAAAGAAAGAAAGAAAGAAAGAAAGAAAGAAAGAAAGAAAGAAAGAAAGAAAGAAAGAAAGAAAGAAAGAAAGAAAGAAAGAAAGAAGTTGAGAAGTTGAGTCTCTCTTCCACTCTATGGGTCCTGGAGATGAACCCCAGGTTGTTAGGTTTGGTGGCAAGCACCTTCACCCTCTGAACCATTTCGTCCACCCCAGAAATAGCTTTGAGATTTCTGAGTTACTGTAAAGCTTTTTCATTCAGCAAACAGAGTGAGCTCTGAACCAGCTGGAAGTTTTTAGAGGGACAGCTCCACCCCCACCCCTGAGGGACTTCCCCTCACCGGGCCTCCTCTCCGGGCCCTGAAAGACTGCCATTTGTAGCATCCCTGGTCAGTTCACCCACCCTGTTCTTCCAGCTAGTGCTGCCCTCTGACCCCACTCCACACTTTGGGCTGTTCCAGGGCGAGAGGAAGAGTTGGGGGTGGCATTTCATGGAGAGAAGATGTCCTGGGCCGTCTGCAGGGCGTGCCGATTGGGAGGGAGAGGGACACTTGGTTTGCTTTCTGAGGCCCACACGGGGGGGGGGGGGGCAGCGCACGTGTCCTTGGTGTCTCCTGGTGGTGAGTGTCCTCGGGTGTTGTGGCTATGAGGCGTGTGTCTGCACAGGCTGTGCAGACGGTCTCTGGGCTGTGCCCCTGCTTCTCTGTGCCCTCCCCTCTGTTACAGCCACCTGCCCGGCTACCCCCTGGGCACAGCACGCAGCGTCGGCAGCTCACTGGCCTGAAAGCACAACCACAACACAGAGCAGGGATTCGGGGGCCTCAAAATGCCTCTAAAGTCCCCAAGACCAAGTCGGTCTGATCATTTCAGTTGCAGGCTGTGATCCACTGGAGAGCTGTAATGGTAAATTTGTGGGTTGAGACCAGCAATCTCTTTAATAGAGTAGAAAATATCAGGGTACACACCTCATGAAACCCAGTCAGTTGTGACTTTGGGACTTTTAATTTTAGTTTTTACCGTGTGTACACTCAGGTGTCTATTTGGGGTCATGGTGAAAGATTATGCTCCTTGCCCTGGTCATAATACAAACCACCAGGGCTGTTAGGATATAATGTGCTTGCCACCCTAGCTGGCGAGAACCTGAGTTTACCTGGGAACCCACATAAATATAGAAGGAGAGAACCAAGTTGACAAAATTTTTCTTGAAGCCTAGCATAGTCAGTCGCACATGCCTTTAGTCTCAGCATTTGGGAGGCAGAGGAAGGCGCATTCAGAGCCAACCTGGTCTACATAGTGAGTTCCAGGACAACCAGGGCTGTATAGAGAACCCTATCTAAAAACAAGCAGGGACTGGAAAGATGGTTCAGTGGTTAAGAACACTGGCTGCTCTTCCAGAGGACCCAGGTTCAAGTCCCAGCAACCACATGGTGGCTCACAACTGTCTATAACTCTAGTTCCAGGGGATCAGATACCCTCACACAATGTACACAGGCAAACACCAATGCACATAAAATAAAAAAATAAATAAATAAAATAAAAACAAGCAAACAGCAACAACAAAAAGTTGTCCTTTGGCCTCTTGGCACGCATACACGTAATACTAATAAATAAAATCTTAAATAATAATAATAATAATAGCAACAACTAGGCAAAGACACTTCAGTGAGTTCTACAGAGAACGGAACCTCTGTTCTCAGCCAACCTGGCCACCAGACCCCACCCTCCAGTCAATGTCCCCGGCTGTAACATACAACCTTGTCCTCTGTTATCCTCTGACCCCATCCTGCTCTGTGTTCTTAGTCTAGAGGACCTCTCATGTCTTAGTGCCCTCTCTGCCAGTGG